ACAACTTCTCAGTTTTGGTTTTGCTGACATGGTGACAGTTGTGCAAGCTCAGGATGACAAATTGATTTTTCCATGACTTTCAGAGCTTAAAAAATGCATATCTGGAGAAAGTCATGCTTTAAGGAATGACAGAGCTGCATGTGACATGGAGACCCTCACTTTTATGCCAGTACAAACATTACTACAAACCAAGAAATGAGCAGTGACTCCACACTGTTCAGTGAAGCAGATCTTATTTCTCCTGGAAGAGTTGAATAACAATAGTAGTGCAGTTCACACAAGCAGCAGGACGATCATACACATGAGAGAAATCCTTCAAGGAGCTACAGGCACTTATGATCCTGCTGTTCTGCTGGAGGGCTCTGTATATTATACAATTCTCCCATTCTTGAATTCCAAAAAGCATGGTTACACCTCACTATCTACTGTCTGTTTTCAGCACATTGTACTTCATGCTAAGCTGGCTTTACATCATCACTAAAACATAAAGACAATTCAGTCTTTCCAATTTCTAATATGAAAAGCTTAATAGTTTTGATATACTTCAGATGCTTTTGATTTTTAGAGAACACTGCATCAAATGTGGTGATACAGGTTTTATTTGAATGCATTCTGAAGTCACTTGTGTGTAAATCAAGAACTGATTGGTAAATTAAATTGCCTAAGCCATGCCAACAGCAGCAGAGCTGGAAATTGCAAAAAGCCTGTAATAAAGTGCTGCAGACAAGTTATCTCCTTTCTTTCATCAGTCTGTGAGCTGTAGCAGCAGCAAGCATTCAAAATCTACTTGATTTCACCACAGAGCACACTTAAGTGCAGTTCACAAACTGTACTGTCCTTGAACCATCTGGGGTTCATAGCATGAAACCTCTTATGTTCTTCAGCTTATAAGATTGTTTTGTTGCTGCTGCAGTGGCTGCCACCGTTTGCTTTGCAAGTTGCTGCTTTCAGTGTTCAGCACACACCCTCAGTAGCTTTGGTCAAAGTACTTACATAAACTGAAGCCTAATAGCAATAAAGGGGAGGCATCCAATTTACCCACCTTTGAATTTCTTAGAATAGTGGATAATTGTGGCTTTGGAACTTGAAGGGGGAGAACCCAACAACAACAAAAAATGAAACTGTTCTCCAAGTTCTGCTCCTTATGATACAAAGTTCTGAACTAATCACAAGCACTATACAAAATGGAATTTTCTTTCTTTTTTTTTCTTAAATATTTGTCTGAAATGCCTCATTTTATTTATTTTTCTTTTCTGAGAAGCTCATGGCATTGCTCAGTGATGCATTTTGCCTTGCAAGAAAGGGGTAGGCAGATCATTATTTGTAAGCTAGGAATCACTGAGGTCCAGCCTCTTCCCCATGACTCACTGCAGCTCCTGGCTGATGGCATGGCTCATCCACTCCTACCTACTTCCTTGGTCTCTTCAGATGTTTGCTCATATCCCACTTGTCCCTGGAGGCCACTTTACACAACTCTACCTGGTTTCATTCAACTTGAATCTGTTCTGCCCTCTGTCTCTGTCATGTTCCTTGTGTGGTGGAAGCTTTTGCTTCACCCAGTATTTATCTAGAGCTAAAGGATGCTATAACACAACACTTGTTCCATCAGCTGATGGGGATGGTTCCTTGCATACTGACATCATTGCCTTTTAGATCATTCTCCCAAGCAGCAGACAGAAGCTCAGGGCACAGGATTGTAGCACAGCATAGCAGCAACACTCCCTCCTCAGCTGAGCTAGCAGCAACACTCCCTCCTCAGCCTGACTAGCACAGGGAATAGTAGTGGAAATTAGGTGTGATAAGCTGCACAAGCATACTGTGCCTCTGGCAGCCCTAACAACATTCTCAGAGGTACTGGAACAGGTAGATCAGCATGGCTCTGTGCCTCAGCCCATCCCAGCTCCAGGGCTGTAGCTCCCCTGGGAGCTGTGACTGTAACTGTGAGTGTCCACTGCTCCCATTGCTGTGTTTAACAACCACCAAACCCGAAGCTGAGTGTAGTCCCAGGGAGAGAGAGAGAGAGAGAGACAGGTGCTTTAGCTACAGTCACACCCTGGATGGCAGCAGGAACAAGGCAGATGTGCTGAAAACAGCACGGCAGGGCTCTCACTGCTGCTGGAGCTGTCTGCCAGATAAAAACAGCTTCCAAAACAGAGGGGAAATGAGAACCTGGTTTACCTGTTTGAACATATGTTAGGCAGCTCTTTTATCCTTTTCCTTTTCTTCTTCATCTTTCAAAATTCACCCAACTTGATGATTTTTTTTTACCATCAATCACCTCTAATGACCCCACACTCATGGCCCTTTCATGCTGGCATTTCCCTATGCTCTATTTCTTCTGAGCTTGCCCTGTTCCATCTTTTTGCCCATGTCCACAGCTGGGGTTTCACATCCCAGCATCAGCTAGAGCCTGAAGACACTGCTGAGCAGATGGTGGAGCTGCTTCTTGCACAGCCCTGCTGCTGTCCTGTGGCATTCTGCTTCTGTACAAGGCAGTGGCTCCCAGCATATCAGCTGTGGATGTGAGGACCAGACCTAGGGCAAAGTAAACCATGTTTGTTGGTTAACTTTCTGGGAAAATAAATCCTCCCCTTGTGTTCAAGTATGTGGTAAAATTAATGTAGATACAGGCTGAGAGAGGAATAAGGACAAGGTGGGGATGGCAGGAAATTGCAGTGTGTTCATTAGCATATGAAGAGGGCTATATTTATAGCAAGTGCAAGGAAGGCAGCATGATCAGGTGGGCATTTAGGAAAGTATTTACATTTCCAGCAAACCATGGCAGAGGATTTTCCCTAGAACTGCATGTGCCTCTGATGTTCCTTTTGAAGAAACCCATATTCCTCCCTTACCACAGATGAACTCAAACATGCTTGAGAAAAGTCCAAGTCTAAAAATTCAAGAGACTTGGATCAAGCTGCTGACTTTCTACCAGCTGTGTGTGCAAAACAAACCACTTTGCTGTCATATGTTCTGAAACAAGGACTACACTGAAAGGAAGATGGTACCTCATAGGTTCCTTGAGACACTTTTATCAGAGATCTCTGGGTAATTAGTAAAGTGCCCCTACTGATGATACCAAAATAAAGTAATTCTCAGTTGAGGAATCCCATGATTGTATTGTAAAGTCGAAACTCAGACTCCTTGGAGGCACTGTGAGCCTGGCAGCTGGTCATGGTGATGATGTGTCCTGTTTTGTGTACTTTTAGATATACAGTTCAGCCTGTTGTGGATCTTGAAAGCTTAGAACTAAGACTATTGATTAATAGAGTTTCTGAATTGTCACTGAAATTTTAGGAGTGCATTAAAAAAAAAAAAAAAGGAAATGCTTTTATTGAACAATATCTGTCTCTTTAAGTGACATTTCCTGTGAAGTGACATACACTTCAGTGTAAGGAAGCTAAGAAGCTGATCAATATTTGTGTATAAAGTATTTCTAGAGATCTGTTTTGCCAAACCTTACATCACCCTCACCCAGAAAGTTTGACTATTACAACCTGTATTTCAAGCAGGATGGAATGGAAGCAGGGAAAGAGTAGCCAGGAGTCTGGACTGGAGCTGCAGTGGAACTGGTCTTTCATTTGCAATTTTTAACCATTCTATGGGTTCAATCTGAGTTAAAGGAGTACTTTTCAGCCTACTGGCAATTTTATGTGCCAGCCACCACAGACATACAAGGCCTCAGGCTTGGAAGGCTTGTGCTTCTCTTGAATATATGCACCAAAGATAGCACACTGCTGAGTCAAAATAAGATAGTATAGGTACATTTGAAATTCACTTTATTGACCAAGATTTTCGGTTCTTGTTTATAGACATGAAAAAGAACCAGATCCAAAAAACTGTATTTAAAAAGCTGGAGTCAGAAGTAATTAATGCCTAAAGTGACTCTATAACCATACACAGTCAACCTACATAAGTGCAGATCCTCAAGAGGTTTGTGATTAGTAGTTAGCCTTACTCCTGCCTAATATATTGGTACCTTGAAATATTATGAACACTGTACTGCTAAGAATCATTTACAGTGAGAAGACTTCATTGCAAAAACTGATTCTTTTCAGTCAAAGTTTTAGCACAAAATTGCATGTTTCTACTTCTAGAGGAAGGTGTCCCTGTGTCAGGCTAAATATTGACAACCTCCCACCCCTGCTTCCTACTTCTCCTTCCACACATAGCTCAGTGACAGCAAGCCCCTGCTGCAAAGGACAGCATGTGACACTGCAGGTCACAGCAGCTCCTGGCTCTGTAAAGGGAATTATTGCTGCCTTATGTGAGACGAATCGCATTGCTCTGGACACATTCTCAGTGAAGGAATGTGACAATCAGACTTGTATTAGTTTGCACTGCTGCTTGGGCTGCCTGGCTCAATGAATTTTATGGCTGAACAAAGCACAAGCTACCAGTGGACCAATTTTTCACTCATCCCTCTCTCTGAATGGGGCTGGCTCCATCAGTCCTTGGGGATGCCCCAGATGGATCCCCCTTCTCCTGGGCACGGCAATGTACAAAGCTCACTCAAAGACTTACAGAGCTGCCTTTATAAAATGTTTGGCCCTGTGGGCTCTCAAGGACTGTCACCTGTTCTTATTTAAAAGACTTTCTTCCCTTGAAGAGCACTGTGGAATGCAAACCTCTGTTGCCCTGACTCTGAGAGTTTTCAACCTGGTTTCACTGTCCTGTGGTTATGCACCTTCCTCCTATTGTCCTGTTTCACTAACAAGGTATTTTTCTTTTTTTTTTTATTACAGAACCCCTTTTTCCTCCCTCTTTTGCAGGAGCCTTGCACCCTTCATGCACCTCAGCTCCACACCTGGTGTGGGCTCAGCCTCTGGTCCTTGGGCCAACACATCCCAGGTGAAGTGGAATGGCACATCCTCAGCTGGTAGAAAAAAAGGGCGGGAAGGGAGCTGGGCACAGGAGACAGGGCAGAAGAACACAATGAAGTATCATGTGGGAATAGCTTTTTCCATATTACACTGCTTTCTGCATATAACAAAAAATACCTCTTTCCTCCCAGCCTGCCATTTTCCTCTCGTTTCTTTCTTTCTTCTCCTAGCTTCAGGTTATCTCTCTTCAGGACCTCTCTGAAGCCACTGTGGTTAAAACACAGGGTAATATGTTTTTTACCTGGGTACCACACTTTGATAGTTTCAGAAAAAATCTAATTCTCCCCAGGCTGTGAGTTTACCAGCTACTTAAGATAAGGACTCCAGATAGTTTCCTTTAACTGCCAAGGATTCTGTCAGTTTGCATCCAAGGGAATGAGGAGGGAGCCTGGAAAAGTTTGGGATGGAGCAGTGCAGTCTGTGCCCTGGGTCCTGCCTGGCTTGCTGCTCTGCTTGGGAGCACAGGGAGCTCTGGAGCTGCCCTTGCACCTGCTGGGCTGATGGGGACAAAAACCTCTGCCAGAATCAGCTTTTGCACACAAGAATTTTTACCAGAAAATTTCTTTAACAAACTCCTGAGAGAGCCTGACCCTTCTCTTTGTGGAGTTAATAGTGAAGCTCCTGCTTCATTTCAGTGGGGCAAGGTTGACTTCTCCATCTGCGCACTACTCAGGGAGTACTGAGGTAAAGACTGGCAAGCCTGACCGCTGCAAAATTGTGGCATTTGGAAAATGGAACTTTATAAATGCTTATTTTAATTAAAAAAAAATTCTTGTCTTTTTTTTTTTTTTTTCTCACTACATTCTGCTCATTCTCCTGGGCTCTGCAGCCCATTATTGCAAAACTAAAAGCAAGACTAAAAGCAGAGGCCAAGGCATGCTCAGAAAAGTATTGCAAGGATTAGACTGCATTTGTGCACACATGCTTATCCAACAAAGATGTAAATATATATTCACTTGCATCTTCCAAGAGAGTCATTCATGACAGAAGTGTGCATGCACTTTAGGTGATTGTTTGGAATTTTTATTAGACACCAGCCCACATACTGAGGCACTTTCTCAGGCATTACTCAGGAAAAACTCACAGCTTTAACATTATAGTACTTAAATACATGAAAATCCAGAATACATTGCACAGTGTTTTTCCTTCAGCACAAAAGTTACAATACTTCTGTTGTCGTGAGGCTCTACAAAAGTGTATTAGTGCTTTGAAAATACATTCTTAGTAACTTTTGGACATGCAGCTTCATGCCCATTTTAAGAGATTTAACCTCCTTTGCCTCAAAAGAAAAACAGGATTCTGTTTCCAGCCCAGAATTCATTAAACACTTGATCAAATTTCTGTTGTTTTTCATTTGCCCAGCTATTTCTTGAATTTCAGAACTTTTCTGCATTTCTAATAACTCAAGATAGCCATTCCAAACTGAAGGAATCTAAAAAGTTTTTCTTGGACAAGAGTTGTCACTAACCAGTTACCAGATTCAGAGAAGGCATTTAGGCTTGTCCAATAAAACCAAGTAAGATCATGGCCAGTGTATTTGATTATGAAAAGAAGTTCCATAAAGTATTTAAAGGGTAGTAAAAAGTTAATCTCTTACCTATCACTTTGACAATGTGTTAGTAGACAAGGTTTTAGTAATTTTTAATTAATTTATTAAAAAGGGCTAGAATGCTTTCTGCTTTCTTTTTCTTTCTCAACAACATACACAAAAGCAATTTCCCCCCAAAGCAGACTTGCACTAGGACATGAGATGGAAAACTTATGTTATAAAACCCATCTCCTTTTGCTTAAAGCAGAGAGATGTGCTGAGAAACTGGTACAGTATGACAACATTTTAAACACAGAGGAGACGAGATTTATCTGGCTGGTATACAATATAAAACAAAAATCGAACATCAATGTTACAGTGCTATATTGAAACAAACCACATTAATTAGATGCTTTGAAGTCAAGCCTATATTTTCTTCAGCTTTTTCATGAATTATTGATCCACTTTGCTCATTAAATGGAATGGCAGGCTCTTGCAGTAAATGGACAAGTGGCTACAACATTTATATAATCAAATACGCTCTGCATCTGGCAATAAAACATGTTTGTGTGTAAAACATGCTTTCTGAATTGACATCCCTGCAAAACAGATTTACTAGAACAACCACATTCCTTTCCTTTTGTCTCTAAAGCACAGCTTGCCTTGCATCATCATGCAATCCAGCATTCTACTGTGATCGCATTAAGCAAGATATTTTCCAAGAGCCTGTATTGTGTGCATTGAGCAACAGAACACTTCTCCTCTACAACGAGATGTAAATAAACTGTCTCACTTACCTTATTTTCTCCATTTCTGCCGCAGAGGCCTACAAGAAATCAAATAACAGGAGCAAGTGAATGAGAGCAAACATTCACTCCGCAGATCTATGCATAGTTAAGGCTTTCCGAACGCTTCCCGGCTGCGGGGCGCGGGCGAGCCGGCCGCACATCTGCATCGGCCGAGGGGAGCGGGGAGCGGAGCCCGGCGTGCCCACGGCCACGGGCACCGAATGACTCAGTTGTAGCGCTGAGCCACACAACGGGGAGGGGAAAATAAAGAAGGAGAAAGGCAAAAAAAAAAAAAAAAAAAAAAAAAAAAAAAAAAAAAAAAAAAAAAAAAAAAAAAAAAAAGAGGCCAAAAGCGAGCAGCGGCAAGTAACAGGTTAGTGAGCCTCCTGGGTTTCCCAGGGAAAGTTGAATTGCCGTGCTACCCTCGGCGCGGTGGGCATGGCAGCGGGCTGGGCTGCCGGGGATTGACAGTGACTTCATCACACGTGAATTCGGAGCTCAATTCATCATCTTGCGCTGAGCCCGACAGATGGAAGGACACCAGCTCGCCTCCTTCGTGGGAGTTTCGAGTAATCAAATTACTTTCCTCAAGTAATGCACTATCTTGACATTTAGCATCTCAATGCACGGAGGCGCCAGGTTAACCCTTTGTGTGCCGCTGCCCCGCCTGCAGCTCCCGCTGCCCCCGGCCCATGCTCGACTCTGCCCGCATCCCCACAGATCCCCACGGCCCTGCCTGCTCATTCCATCAACCTGCCTGGGTCCTTTTTACCATATAGGTGCTGTAAATTCCTGCTTGTCTATATCCCGGAGATCCATTAATTTCTCCAGCGCTACTTGTTGGCATAGTCTTGTTAACCCTTTGGTTTCTTTTTCGTCACTATCTCGTGCAGATCCTAAATAGCTGCTCCCATTTCATTTCAGCACAGCACTGGCACAGAATCTCATCAATTCTCCCAGTCCCGCTTTATTGTAACTAAGGAATGAGCACTCAGAGCAATCCTGCAATCTCTAGAGCCAGATAAATCCCAGCATCACAGAATCTCTTATTTATACTGAAAGCATTGGCCATTAATCATGAGCACTTTAAACCTTATTGATTAATGGCTAACAATCATATTTGAGTATGAAATAAATTAAAGATTAAAAATAGAGAATGTAAATTTAATCAGTTAACCAGCAGGAAATTTGTCAAACTGCCTAATAAAACATCCCAAATGACAAATTGTTGGTTCTTCGTTGGGTCACTTGTCTTCCCTTTTTCTCATTTACTTTTGATTTGCCCATTAGAGAAGTTGTCAGTCAGGTTGGTGTTTGCACGGCAGTTTCTGATGTCAAACATTAAGGATTTTAGCCATGCACCATAACTTGGTAGGCAGGAAGCCAGCTGCAGGAAAAACCCTCCTCATTTTCTCAGTAACACATGTAATGCTTGCTTACATGGTCCTTGCTATGTAAACATGTATTGCATACCTGCTGTGTTGGAAACACAAGGTTGTGTGTGGAATCTTGAGATTAAAAATGCAACCCATAATTGCTTTTTCTAATTTGTGTCTGTCCATTGAATCCTGCATATTCTGTAGTACACAGGAAATAGATTCAACATTGCTGATCAGAAACCAAACCACAGAGGCTTTACTGATCAGAAAATGAACCACAGAGGCTTTGTCCCAGGGCATGAGAATCTATGGCAGACCCACTGGTTTGCCAGCTTAGCTCCCCAGACATAAGCTCTCCAACACAGCCCTGCTCATCGTGTTCCTTTAAATTTTGGAGAGATGACAGTTCTTTTGCATGGCTGCTCACTATTTCTTTGCCATGAACTCTGGGAGTTGCTGTGCAGACAGGGTACTTGGAATGCCTGATTTTAGAGCTTCTATTATGGCAATATCTGCAGCCATCAAGGGAAGATACCTGGCCTTGCTTTTGCCTAGTGCTTTGAATAATGCTGCACTCCTGGGGTCAGTGTGGGGGTTGCTTTGTGTGATTAAATCAAAGTATTGAGAAGAGGAGCTGTAGACTAATGTTTTGGTGATACTCATCTGTGGACGCAAGTGAGTCATTGGCTGCCAATCCTGACAGGAAATTAGTAGGGAGAAAAAAGCTCAGCAAATGCCTAACACCAATTCAAACAAGAAAACTAAACCAAGCTGCAATTACTTTTCTTTTTCTTTTCTTTTCTTTTCTTTTTTTTTTTTTTTTTTCCTGGTAGGGCTGGGTTTTTTACCTCTCACAGTGAAAGCTCTTTGTTCCATGTAATATGCCCATTTTTCCTTTGGACCATTGAGGATGTACTACTCTGCCTTTCCCTGGCAGGTTGTGCAGTAAAGGGATTTCTCTCTCCCCTCTGATGTGGAAACTTTGGGGTCAGATCAATCCTCCCCAAGGAGGATGCTCTGCCCCAGGTCAGAGACTTAGAGATCTCTCTGGGCTGCAGCACTGCAATGCCCCATTGCATCTTTTGACAGGGATGCTCTTCCAGTAAATAAATAGGAGCACAGGACAGGACTAGAGCCTGGATGTTCTTCAGCAGATTGCCCTGGCTTTCAGCCTAGGGGGTCAAATGAGTGTAACTGATACGAAAAGTGGTGAAAACAAGGACAGGAGCATCTGTAGAAACATAGCTTTCATCCCAAGCAGTTTATTTTCCCAGATAGCTGTGTCCCTTAGAAAAGTAATGTTTTATCCCATTTTTTCCTTTTTCTTCTTCTCCCATTTCCTCCTTATCTCTACATTTAATTTTTTTCTTTTTTCTTTTTTTTCCCAAAAGCCTAAACAACTCACAACTGTTTCAAAAGTCTGTGGTTTTCTGAAAAAGCTGTGTAAGTACAAGGCGACATTTTTACTAAGGCAGGATTGCTGCTCCTAGCCAGATCCCTGCCATTGATTTAGCCTGTGGAATTTTAGAGGCTGCATCATCCTCCCACTGCTGTCTATGAAGGCTCCTATCTGAAACTCCTTCCTGAATTGATTCAATAATATAGTCTAAACAGCTCTGAATTGGCCACTTTAAGGACAAATCTTGTCCTCAAACTCTTATGGGACCTATTTCAAGCAGATAGACTGAAGTAAAGGTTGGTGCAAGAATGTCCTTAATGGTAAGTCACCCATAAATTGTTGCTTGCTAGTGTGTTGATTCATTTCAAGTGATTCTTGATGCCTAAACTGAGCAGTGATTGAAGATGTGTGATTTTTTCAATTAAATATTTTAAATTAAGATCAGTAATTACCTTTAATTATAAAAATATCAGATGTGATTTATTTACATGGGATTTTTTTTTCAATATCAAAGCAGTATGACTAAAGAATTTATTTAATTAGCCTAAAAATAACAATTTTTGCTTTTAATAAAAAGTTTGGTCTGGGTAACTCAATAGGCTACATTTCTATATACAGCTTCTTTACTTAAAATACTGAAACTTAAAATACTGAGGTTTGAAGATTTTAATTTTTAAAGACATGGTGTAGCAACTATCCCTAGAAGCACTTTTGGGCAATGACTAATAATATGAATAGAAACCTGATTTTTTTCCAAGTGTTTGAAGGAAGCAAATGTGATGCACCAAACAACTACCAAGACTCACCTTTTTTGGAAGTGTTAAACATTTAAAAGTACATTTTTGAGCAGATATTGAAATAGAAGTCAGTTACCTTTCTTTCTTTTATTTTTTTATTTTATTTTTTTTAATATAATCCCCCACCCCTTACTTATTCTAGATTGCAAGTTGACATTCTTTGATATTCTTTGAGAACAAAATCATTTGCAAAGTCAAGACTAAGAATATTCATTTTTAGTCATTGACATACATAAAACTTAGTATAGTGATCCAGTTATTTGGGTTTTTTATATAATCAGGGTCTATAGTGCTGATTATTGATCCTAAATATTTTTTAATGAAAAAGTCATACTGATGATCCATCATTCTATTCAGTTCACATTGTGTTTATGCTTTATTTCCTTTATGATCCCTTTTTGAGGGATAAGCAATCATGGGACTTTAGATCTTTCTGATGTCTAAAGGAATTTCCTTCCTCGAAGATATTGAGGTTAATTTTCATCCTTCTGCATCTGCCCAATGTACGTGTGAAAAAAAGTACCCTGGAGGTGAATTTTTAATTTTACTTATTAGCTTTTGTTTTCTTGGAAAAGCTTTTCATTTTAGAGGGAGGGACTGGACCCAGGGTCTGGCTCAGTGCTCTCCAAGTCCTCCCACTGTGTTCAGTGACTTTGGAGTTGCACTTTGGTTTGTTGCTACCAGGGGTACCAGAAAAGAAAGAGTAGCAGGAAGTTACTGCCACTCATTTATTCTTATTGTTTACCCAGAATTGTTTATTATTGTGGAAGTTACTTTTATTTCTTTGTTGAGGAAAGCTGTAAATGAGAGCTCATTCACAACAAAAGTTGTCTGGATTTCTGGCACATTTGTAAACTGTCACATGTTTTTAATCCAACTGGATTACTTCAACATTTTTTTTCTGCTCCCTGTTGTACTAAAGTTTTATTGATAGAAACTACTCCAGTCCTTTTTCCTTTCTTTTCCTACAGAGGACAAGAGTTAAAGATTGGATTTAATAAAAATTACAGACAACATAATTTGATAGGATCAATCTTTAATTAGATGTTAATCAATTTTTAGAGATTTCTTTTATTGGCTTTAAAGTACCACTCAGGCAATGCCTGAAGAAAGAGTAAAATTTAATCTATAGAAAGTTTAAAAGAGCTGGAGGAAGTGTCCATTTGCATTTGATTGTATTGAATGTATCTGATAGATGTTTACAAAGAAGAATCATCTTCCTGTAAAACTCTTTCCTGAAATTTTCATGGAGGTACATAGAAAATTGATTCCAAGTCTCCACAGTTGCCATTATAATAGATATTTTGCTCAGAAAGCATGTGCTCCACACCATGGGCCATAAAGCACCTCCACTATGCTCATCTGAAAGTATTTCATGTATGAAAAATGAAGAGGTTAAACACTGAGGGAAGACGGCAGAAGCTGCCAAGAATAACAGCCTTTTTCCTTTCCATAGTATTGAA